CGAGTGTGCATGTCTTCCAGTTCTACGAATGGAGTAAAAAAAAGAAAGCAAGGTTTGTGAAAATGTGGGCCCTTTAAGGCAGCAGATGCCATACCATGGAGCCTCTTCTATCCTAAAACACAGTATTTTCAAGCATATAGAGGCAACCTATCAACAGAGCACAATTATGGCTAAGCAAGGTTTAATGTTTATTTCAGAAATTAACCATTTACAATACACCCCAACTTTAATTCACTTTTTAAAAATAAAATTCCAGGCTTGATTTCTTTTTTTTTTCCTAAATTCCTTTCAGGATATGTTCCAACTGCAGTTTTCTTCCCTCAATTTGTGTTCTGGGGTCTGTATCATTTTTATAAGGAAATAATCCAAACTATTCCTCATATGATAATAATGCCAGTTGAAAGAAAACAACCCGTTCTGTGTATAACAAAGTTAGAATTAATTTTAGTCTGTCTTCAGCTTAGCAGTGTTCTCATCTTGGAATTTTGTTTCATAATCAGAATTTCTCATTGCCTGAAAATTTTCCAAGGTTAGCTGAGTGTGCAGCTGAGTTGCTTTTGATTTTCAATGTAATCTGCTGAAAAACATTCTTGTTATGCTTTATTGATTTAGGCAAGGTCCCAAAGATTGAAGCTGGTTTTGCTCTTGAAATTAAATGTCCTTAGTAAACAGTTGAAGTTTTGATGCTTAGTTGAAGCATCAGATGTTCCACAGGAACTTAAGGAAAAATTTCTTAACAGTGAGGGTGACAGAGCACTGGAACAGGCTGCCCAGAGAGGTTGTGGAGTCTCCTTCTCTGGAGATCTTCAAACCCGCTTGGACGCAGTCCTGTGCCACGTGCTCTGGGTGTCCCTGCGTGTGCAGGGGTTGGACTAGATGACCTCTAGAGGTTCCTGCCAACCTTAAGCATTCTGTGATTCTGTGATTCTATGAAATCTTATAGCAGAGCGAAAGTAGCTTTTCTTCATATAGAGCCGAATGTCCGTGGGCCTGTAGGCTATATTAATTTCAGTTTTATTGCGTTTTCCCAGCCAGTGTTTAACTGAAACAGAATGCAAAAGCAGACTCAAATAGTTGGTGTGCCTGTCTGAAAGATGTGGCAGAAAATTAGCAGAATAATTCTACGGCTCTCCAGAGGTCTTGCCAAGTTGATTTGCTGGGGACAAAGATTATTGAGGAGCTTTCCTCTCTGTATTACTTCTTGCTTCAAGAGGTCTGTAGCCTCCAGTTGCAAGATTTAGGATGTTTGGCAGGTGTAAACTTGTATTTTCTGTTGGAAATAAAGCTTACTCCTGTGCAAGAAATAGAGGGATGGTGATAAAGTTGAGCTGCATGAACAAACTGCCTGATCAAGTCAGACATCCTATCATGTGAATAAATACTGAAGGAGAATAGCTTTCTATTTAACCTGTAATTTCCCAGTGTCAGATCTGTGTACTGTCACAGTCAGGTACTAGCAGGACATAATTTCACTAACTATACAAGCAAGTATTAACTTCTGGCGACTCCTTAGGAAAAACTATTAAAATGTGCAGCTCCGCATAGATTTTTCCAGTGCCAACTCTACTGACCACTTTCAGGGCAACAAAAATGCTATAAGCCTTTGATGTAAAGCAATTCCTTTCAACAAAGCATAGACTTACTTCTATTTTGCTGGTTTTAGACATGGCAGACACCAAAGCTCTAACCCGTGTTAGAAAAGAAAGAATTAGTCTCAGCTGTAACCAATGCTCCCCAACCTTGTATGGAGATCTATCCTACTAGTTACACAGCACTTGGGGTCCCTTAAACCTGCTTTCATAAAAGAATAAAAAAAAAGAGAGAGAGAGAGGGACTAGAAGTGGTGGTATTTGAATTAAATAACTAGCAAATTGAAAGAACTAGGGGACCGAGTCTTTTACTAAAGTTAATGTGATTGCCTCTGGGCAGGTTTTAAAGTTGCTGAGATCCTATTGTTTGTGGTTTGGAAGCAAACTAAACATGTTTGAAAAATCCTGAACTGATTTTTTTTCTTAGCAGTTATGTTCATAACCAGACATTTCTTTTGTTTTTCTTGGTAGCATCTCATTTCTGTTGAGCAAGAATAAAGCTGAGAAACTAACCAGGTTGTATAAAACCATGCATATTTCAGATAAAGCAAATATTGGTCAGAAAAATATAAACTGAATAATAATTTTTTTCAGGATGCATTTCCTTTGGAAGTATGTCATGCAGCAAATTAAGAGCAAATCTCTGCTGTTGTATTTTTATACCACAAAACTGAAAATTGGAGAATTTAGAATCTTGCTCCCTTATAATTATTTCTGCTTGTATCATTTATTCTTGGCTAGCTACTTAATCATATCTAAAATGCTTGAATGACAGCAGTAGAATTTCTAACCATTGTTCCGAAAGATGATAAAACATTAATTGATTATCACAGGAGTAAAATAACTGTAAATCTGTAAGTAAGTATGTTTTCTATGTTAGGAAAAATCTCTGCGTGGTGATGATGGAGCATCTCAGATTCTCAGATACAAAACCTGTCAAGTCTGCCATGCACTGAACTAATGAAGCTGAGAATCTATCTTTTAGGACAATTGTTTTATGAAGGGAAGTAACAAGGAAGCTGAACTTGTACTTAGGCCCAGTGTAAGTTTGGGCTGCCTTAAAACACACTGAAAATGTCTGGTCATCAGTGCAAAATTGCTGGTTGCTGATTTAGCCATTCTGCAAGAAAACTTGCTAATTGCTCTCAAATGTAGACTGTCGAGTTGTCAGTCTGAGTGTTATTGAGCTTGAGCTGCATTATGGGATCAGGAGGGAAGTCCTGTTCTGCAGCCAGGTAGGTGTGAGGGATATAACTCACCCTGAAGCCAGAGGGACTGCCAGCTGCTTCTTCCTGTGGCGTGATGACCCTGCTTGTTCTGATACCATCTCTCTATTCACCTTGGATTTCTTCGTGCACAGAATAAGAATTGAAACTCAGTTTTCACGACTTTTGGCAAAACGCACAAGATTTTTGCAGGGATCAAAACTTTTTGTTTAAAGTATTTCTATAAAAACAATGAAAATCTGCAAAAATGTTTGGCCAAGCCTGAGATTCTCTTATCTTGAGTATATTTACAAGGATCAGCCAGAGCCTGGCCCTTGCCATCTGTATGCCAGCATTACTGACCAGCCAGTACAGGATCCTGCCTTCAGAGGAAGGTTTCAAAAAGCCTAAGCAGAGACTGAGAGCCCAGGATGAGCTTTAGAGGGTAGACGCAGGCTGACCTGGCGCCAATGCAGCATTCCTATTGTCTTTTGGGGGAAAATGGGATTTTTGGATGGGACGTGGAGTAGAGAGCTCTGCGCTGTGCTCCTCACCTCTTCAGACTGGGTAGCAAGGCTTACTTTCCAAGGGAAACTCACATGCATGTCCTGGAGTTATTGCCAGCATTTTTCAGGATTTTTCCTCTATTAAATATATAAATTGTCATTATAAAGATAGGTATTATACAATCTATACACACACGTGTGCATGAGTGTTTGTATATGTGTGTGCCCGTGTGCATGTGAGCATATGTGTATATGTGAATAAAAGCTGCATTTTTAGCTCGTGTCTGTGAAAAGAATAGCCTAAATGGGAACCAGAAATAATTAATGCCTGTTTTTAGCACCATTTTCAGAAATGTGTCTTCCAGTGTTTGTTTCTCAATATTACTGGGTTTGTGTTGCTGATTCTGGTTTTTGGTTTCATTATTTTTCTTTCTTTTGTATTGAATGTATTTATTTAGTGTTGACTGTTGTGCAAGCCAGGAAATTATGTCAGCACAGATTGCCATAATAGATTTATTCTCAGTGTCAAAGCATTTGCAAATGCAAAACAAATCCCCAAACAGTGCAAAACTGAAATACATATAACATATTTAAGGATGTTTTGGCTATTGCTCCTATATAATGCTCATATTTAATGCGTAAATATTTAGCTCTCATTTCCTTGTTATGCTCACTC